CCACACACACACGGACATGGGCATCCTACAGGTCGGGGCCCCCCTGGGCGCTTCGCGCTGGGGCCCCGCCCAAAAAAATACAGACGCAGATACCGCAGGTCAACAAGGTCAACAGAAACCCACTCACATGTGTAGTAACGTTTGGTGAATTTGAGGACTAGGCGCCACCACGAGGCCGGGGAAGGTTTCAATCAACGAGGATAAGTGGTCCAGGCTCCGCTGATTTGACCGCCAATTCACCCATCCAAATGACAGCTTCAGCAGCAGCAGTGCATTGGAACACACATATAGACATATGTATACATACATGATTCAGGGTTAATGCACGAAGAATACATAGACTGTCGTGAGGTATTCATGCACGCATGTATCTTCGTTGTTTGGGTAGCTATATAATCAGCCAGGTCACCGGGCAGGCAGGCAGCAGGCAGGTGTGTGTGAAGGTCATCAGCTACTAGTACTTCTGGCTGGAATGCCGTCCACGCACTGATCCGCTTGAATAAAGTACTAAGAGCAGCAACAACAAACCAGCAAACAGCAGGACATACAACGAAGGAAACCAGTTTAGTACGATCTGGGGTTGGAGGCACCTTCACATGCTAGCCGTCGTACCTGGTCCAGTGGCAGTTGTCGTGCCGAGAGATCCAGTAAAGTCACATTCCCCATGGATGAGAAGGCCAGTACTGTTAGAGAACTGCTGGGCCTGCCGTCAAACGCGGCAGGCAACATCAGGGGCCGCATCCTGACCAATTCCCTACCAGGTCCGAAGGGCAATAACAGCCGATGTAAGCCGACATACCATCGTACTTTCATGCCATCCTGTATATGTAGGTGGAACAAGCAGGGGCATGTGGAAGCAAGAAATGAAGGTGGCTGATTTAGTGTGATTGGCTGTGAGCGGCAGCGGATTGCTTGACTAGGGAGGAGGATGGCTGTGTTGAACAACTGCTCTATTCGTATTGAAGATTAAGGAAGCGGTGAGTGCAAATCACATAGCAGTAGAAAGGTAAGATACGGTTGTTACTTTCGTCGCGTGCATGTGTGAGCGGGGTTTGGTTGCAAGGTTGTGTATAGCTTCAAGTTAGCATCGGTTGCTAGCTAGGCGGAAATGGGCGGACATAGTAGCTGCCCTACAGTACAACACACAGCCCGTCTATAAACATGTGCTAAAGCGCTCTGTCAGCATCTACCTTGAGAGGCCTTTCCTACATACCACATCGGATAATTTACATCGGCGAGGGAGACCACCGGGTACCAAGAACGTGGATGAGTGGATGTGCATGGATGACCGATCCCCTCACACCTTGAGGATGCATGCACCATTAGCTCGGCGGATGGGATGGACGGTGCAGCCCGAATGCTTATATCCCGCCTATTTAGTTACCATCACCCTAAATACTGTCTAGGTAGATGAACAATAACAGCTAGGATTAACGCAATTGATAGTCCTAAGTGGTGGTTGGTAGTCCTAAGTGCAAATTGGTAGTTCGAAGTACAAATATAAACTTCTTTGAAGGACATGTGCAGGTGCCCAAGTTCATCACCTTGATATTGATGCCCATAGCATCACCGTGCGTGCTACAAGTCAGAAGCCATGCGGGATGCTGGAACAAGATGCATGACGGTGCGCTGTAGGGATCAGCAATCATGTGCAGCACGACTCCCGTCGCCACGTCCCAGATGCGCACGGTTTTGTCGTACGAGCCAGTCGCCAGGGTGTCTTCATCCGGTGACAGTGCTGCGAGATGCACCACATCTTGATGTCCCACGAATCGCTGTGTTGTCTCGCCTGTATGATTGTGTGACACGGGGGGGGGTTATAGCTTCACCCGGGGCCACTACCTGGCAGTTCCTGCCTTCCACGATATTTCCCACCTCATCCTTCTCAACCATGCCGGCTTCTACGACGTCGGTGACTTTTCGGGTTCAGCACCCACCACCAGCATCAGTGGAATCTGCCGAACCAACGGAACATCAACTCCACTTCTAGTCGGCTCACAGATCACTAGAACCGGGCCCATCACCGTCCATCGGCATGCGGGTGCATCCTCCCGCTTACGGCTGAGGGATTTGTTATTCCACTTTTGCCGGGGTCGATCCTGGAACCTTCCAGGGACACTTATGCAGCGCCTTAGCATATTAGCTGTGTCTGAAGCCCTATAGCCTGTATGTATGTGCGGGTGCGTGGTGAGCGCGCCAGCAGGCAGGCATGCAGCAGGCACACCTGCATACCCGGCCGGCCATCAAACAGAACGAAACCCTAAAACCATAAAAGGTACACCAAAAGAACGTCACCACGTGCTTCACGATACTTGTTACCACCATGTCAGAAATACTAAGGTGATTGTAACTGTAATCCTAACAGGATTTCACAGGAAAGGAAAGGAAAGCCCATCACCTGTTGAGAGGTTGGTGATTGCAGCGGTTTTATCAACTGAGCCTGTTAAGCAGTGCAGCCCGTCACGTGTGAACCGGGCACAACAGATGCCCTTTGCGTGGATGCCATTGTATCTACGCGTCTCCGTGCCAGTATTGAGGTCCCACAGAATTAAGCACGAATCCTCCTCGTGGTTTGTAGTGACCATCTGGTCGAAGGCTTTGTTGACCTGGGGACGCACTAGCCTAGTTGTGGAAACACTGTCTGTATTAACCACCTACAGGGGGGGGCCAAAGGGAGGGCAACAGGGAGTGCAGGTCGGGAGGGCAAGAGTGGTGTTTACCGCAGTCCCGTGCGGATTTTTGTGCCTTCCGTCGCTAAGGAACCAGGAATGGCAAATATTCAAACAGCCCTGCGCCCTTCAAAACGCACTACATGCTGCATAGCCAGCTACCGACACCTCAACCCCAAGATAGCCACCCGCCCCACCATCCATTTCTTATCCTCCCTCCTGCCTGCCGGAACCCAGCCATCATGTCTGCCCCCAATAAAGGCAGGATCAATCCACAGCCCCTGCTCCCTAAAAGAGCAGGCTGCACTGAGTGTAGCAAATAGTCGCTATCGCCCATGCCATGCATATGCCATGCCCGTCCTTCCCAGCCACTTCCCTGCCAGCATTTATGCATGATAACACACACATACATACATACCCGCGGAGGTTCCTTGGATTCAAGATTGAACAGCCGGACCTTCCTGTCTGCACCAGAAGTGATCAGCTTCCCGCGCATTCGAAAAGTTGTCGTCCCGCCATCATTGTCAGACACGAGCCCCGCATCGTCGCTGGCCACAAGGTACTCCCCGTAAGCGCAGTCGTCATAGTTTTCAAAGGGGTCCACCAGCTGCGCGCCGCGCTGGTAATCGACAACAAACTCCCAAAGCTCCTCGCCCGTTGCTAGATTGTAAACGCACAGCTCCTCTGCAGAGGTATGTAGATATTGGCATGTGTGGCCAGCAAGCAAGTAAGCAGGGAAAGCAGGAAAAGCATGCGAGGCAACCTGCTGCTGGATGGATTGGCAATTCTCCGCTGGGTCGCCAATCCCTTCCTTGGGTTTTGATACGGCGCTTAGTTACACCAACTCATACTACATTCCTGAATACTCTATCGCCCCAGGCGTTAGGTAGGTTTCTACAGGTTTCGTAAAAACGTTTCTTCTGCCGGTTTACCCTGATGATGCTTCTTGTCATCACATATCGGGCCCACAACAAAGGGGCAAACTGCTGATGGCAGGACCCTGAGACCTAGCAATTATGCTGAGCAGTATGGTTGCAACGGTTAGTAATGCACGTACAGCAGCTCCTTTATAAAACGAACATTTACTACTACTGGCAACGTGTATGGCCAAAAAGACATTGGTTGACGGTTGGTCGTTAACGTCAATCACAGCCACTTGTCATCGTCAGACTGACAGCAGAAGGGAGCAATATTCAGTCAGACAACAACTAACCACGACAACAGCAACATGAATGCCCCACCTTCAAAACGGTCAGCCACTCCATAAATGTTCATGACGAACAAAAGTGTCCCGTCGCGTGACACGTCAGCATCGTATACATTTTGCAGCCGCTTGTCCCACCACAGCACCTCGTCAAAGCTCTTGGCCTCCAAGTCAAACACCCTGACGCTGCCGTCTGAGCATACCGCTCCAAAACGTGTTGGATAGAGAGGAGTTTTCCGTCCTGTCGGCTCATCGTTTCTCTCCTCATTTTCCTGCAAGCCATCGATCCTATAATAGCGCTTCTTAAACTGTTCGAACTTGTGGGCTGAGCTCAGGAAGAAGCAGCCCGACGTGGCGTTGCACAGAGGGTCAGGCTCCTGCAACGCAGGATGGACCTGCCAAACACACGAAATGCAATCAAGACACAGGACAAGCTCAGAACGAAGCGGGAGGATTTTGTCTAAGCTAGGCAACAATCTCCAGTCCAGCCTGGCAGGTGGTACAATTACTAGGTAAAACAAACCCTGCCTGTTTGATAACGTCCTGCTGGGCCATCACAGCCTGCGGGTACGAGAGCCGAGGGCAGCAGCACGCAGTGTAGCTACTATGTGCATTTCGTCTGTGTACGTAGCTCAGATAGATCCTGACAGACAGGGTGTGTAGTTGCTATGTACGGTGGAATCACCATTGTTGGATCCGACAATGATCTCCGGAGATGAACTTGCTTGGCCTCCACATGCTGCTGCACAGCAGGCCTGTTAGTTGGCCGGCTTATCATAGCCTTAGGTCATCGTCACCAATGACCTGTTACACCCACGAAGGATCCTGAAGTAATGCCCGGCGCCACCGGGCAACTAAGCTGTAGCAGGTCTAGGGTCTGACGAATCATCTTAACATTTACTATTCCTTAGATCTGGTCCCAAACGAATACATTTTTTTATCTGATCTTTCCGTTTTCGCTTGGCACGGCTGATGAATAAGTTCACTGGAACTAACTAAATTCCAACTGCCTATTTTGCCGCCTTTCTGTCAGATCTTTATGGCTCCAACCTCTGGGTCCGACGGTGAGTGGAACTGCAATAAGGGATCAGCTCACCTTGGCATCTCCCGCGAGTACAGTTTGTCTGGTCTTATTGTATATTTCGCAAAAAAATAACGCAGACGGAGTAAACGCCGCCTCAGGCGGAAGTCCATACTTGCAGAAGTGTAGGCGGGGGTCATAGCACAGGCTACGACTGGGATGCTGGTCCCTGGCTCGCGGAGCCCCGTCATCGATGGGAAGCATGGGTCAACAGTTCACCGTTCCGGGACTGGCTACGCCATTCCGGGACTGGCTGTACGACTCATGAGATCAGGGTTCGACACCCCGTACGGGGCCCGTAAGTTTTTGGCCTTTTTTCGGTATCCCCGTCCGGGCCCGTAGGACTTTATGGTGGCTCCCGTAAGGATTTTGGGGCGCGAAGCGCCCCGTACGGGGCCGCCCCCGGACCGGCCGAAGGCCGGTTACGGATTTTAAGGATTTATAAGAGGCCGTACGGGGCCCTGTAGGGGAGAGGACGGACCATATAAAGGATAAGGCCACACACTTGGCAGACATAATTCATATTGCAATATTTAACTACACTTTTCATAATAGTTTTATAGCTTCTGGTCTGTAACATCCAGCGATGGCAGACAATGAGTCGTCAAGAGGTGACCAAGGGCCTCCTAATCCACCGCCCTCCAAGAAGCGCGCCACCTTAAAATTGTCGGACCTATGGGGCTCTGGTAAGCTCGCTCATCGATTGTGGGAACGGAGCTGGTTGGAGGACGAGAAAGAGGAGCAGAAGGGATGGGCGGCCGCAGCGGCCAAGGCGCTTGGCTTTCGCTGAGTGTGCCGTGTCCCCGAGTGTAATGGTTCACGAGAAAATAACGAAAATAACGATTTACGGGGCAAAAAAGTGCAAACCGTCACTTTCCACAGCGTTTCAGCCAAGGACAGTGCCCCCGTAAAGGTTTTGCGGGGGTTACGGGGGCCCCCGTAAGGTTTTCGGCCGGTACAGGAGCCTGGTACGGGGGCCCCTCCGTAAGGAAAATTTGGGAGGTACGGGGGAGCCCACAAGTTTCAGGAAGGTCAGTGTCGAACCCTGCATGAGATGTCTGCATCCCCGCTATTTATACGGATAAAACTCTTCCAATCGGTGTCTTCCGACACCACCATCCGGTTGTGTTTGGTAAGATTTACTATATCGGCTCGCGAGACCTGCATTACTTGTACGGCACGATGTACATCTTACCCTACACAGCAGAGCTGTATATTTTGTCCAGGTTTAGGATTGACCGGATGGTTCCATGGGCCTTATGATTGCTTGGGCAAGGTATTGGAACGAGGCTGCCAAAAGCCTTGGTGACGGGAAGAATGCTCAAATATCCTCATGCAGCTGGTGGGTTTAATTGAACCATGTAAGATCCGTCCGACATCAAGTGTGGATCACAACACAACCTATGCTACCCGCCCCTCCTCCTTTCATCGCCTCGGTTGTTCTAAAAACTCCATGACAGACTAGGCGAGGGCTAGTAGCATACATGCATAAGTGTAAGGCTTCTCATACTACAGGAAAAACGAAGACAGCTAGCGCGGGTACGAGATGCCCTTATCATGATCGATTATGTCTGTATGACAGTGCATGTGTACGGAATGTACCTGCGATAGGTGCACACGCACCAGCTCTTGACCATACTTTGACTCCATCAGCACTAGCATCGGTAGCCTGCCGAGCCCGCCGACCTACGCATCAAATTGGCCATATCCACATATATCGGACATGTACGGAGTTTTAAATCGGGCTGAGGCATGTACGGCCTAAAAATAGACATATGTATTGAAGGCCAGGGCACAAGATGCAATGAAGGCAGGTGGTTCACCCTCACTTCACAAACGATGGTGACCAACCGTGCTGGTCAACATGCAGCAGGGTCAACGTTACTTTCGGTGGGTCCGTTACTTTGCCCAGGTAGTGTCCCACACATGCGAGTAGGCTCTAGTACGTGCATAAACTGCTTAAGGAGAGCAGCTCGTGTGGCAGCACCCATTAACGTAATGCTGTGGCAGGTGCGGTGGCCCAGATCGAGACAAACGCAAGTGCATGCTGTTAAGACTGAGCGGGTGCCGTAAGAAGCCCACAGATTTCAATCGGGCCAGCAGAAGGACAAGCGAAGCAGTGGGTTCGGTTCCCGTACATGTTCAGGCATAGTGAGGATCCAGGATTTCGGGATGCCCGGGTACCCAGGGTTATATGATGGGGGGGAGGAGTGTAAGAAGGGATCAGCTCCCCTTGGCATCTCCCACGAGTACTCTTTGTCTGATCTTACACGTTCATGCACATGCACATCTCCTTGAACTTCCCTAACACTCCCACCCTGCCAATCCATCCATTGCCCAGCATCCCATCCAACAAAGACGATCATACCAGGATAAACTGTCCACAAGGACTGAAACAGCAGCAGCTGCTGAGGGGAGTACCTCGGCCACCCTGCACTCCAAACTTGGTGCTGTAGCACAGCTTCCCTGTCTTGATGTCCCAACCATACAGCGCACCATCTTCACCGCTGGTTGCAGCCACCCTGCCTGCAGCGTGGCTAATTGCACACACGTCCAGCTTCCCTGGAGCTCTGGGCGTGTGCATTACCTTTGGTGTATTCCCCGTGATGTCGAAGATGACGACACAATTTGACTGTGCAATGACGACAGCCCTTGCACCGTCCTCTGTCGCAGCAGATCCACGTACCTAATATGCACCAGTGTTCAGGTGATGGGTGTCAGGCAGGATGCACACTCGCACAGATATACATGATGACTGACAATCCACGTTTACAAGGCATCACCGGCTGCCTAAGAGAACCTCACTAGACCTACCTACGCAGTCCTCTTAGGCCCGTGTTCACAGCAGGCCGGCATGTAGATATACCGTACTATTCATGCCGTACTATATGATGTATAATACATAGTACGGCATGCCATGCTGTCACTTTCGCAGTCCAACCCTAACAACACATCCTGTACATGCGGGCGGGCAGACAGACGGACGGACATGCAAACAGACGGACAGACGGACGGCCAGATGTCACACAACCGCCCATTTGCCCACAACCGTGTGTGTGCATGTGTATTAGCCGCGGGCTCATGCAACAAATAAAGCAGCCGCTCGCTCTTATCTCTTCCAGCTTGGCAGCTGCACCCTCTCATGTGTTGACCCTACATACCTGGCTCAAGTAAACCTTGTGTTCTGGTTGCCCCTCCACGAACCCAACAACTCCACCGATTGGCAGGGATAGCGTCCGGACGATCTCCAGATCTCCAGCGTCCCAGATCTGTACGGCCTCGCCACAAATGGTTATCATATGCAGTATCCCTTCCAGCGTGTGATTAAGCGCAGATATGCTGGTGATAGGCTTTTGATGGAGGGCCTTCTGATCCTCGCAGATAGCCTTCCATTGGTCTCCCTCCTGCGCACAATTCACATAAAAGGATGTATGCGAAATAGCAACGCACAAATACTACTGCACACCATGGAGACATGCCAACCAGCCGAGAAGGTTGTGGCAAGGAAAGAAATACATATCGCACTTATCTTTGCTGAGCCATCAGGGAAGCTCAGCACGCCTATAAGCCGGCTCATCGAAATCTACCGCATAGCACTGTATAACAGGAATAATAATTTACTGATGCTACAAGGCAGCAGATGGGAAGCTAAAGCCCGTGCGGAAGCAAATGTACTACGTATGGCGAACTTATTTAATTATACGGGCACGTCGCCGTGATCCTACATCATTGCCAGGAGAAGCTCCGGGTACAGAATCACCTTGAAACATTTCCATCGTTGAACAGAACCATCGGCCGTGCAGCTGAAAAATACATTGCTGCCTGCTCCTTTGCATACTGTGAAGTTCCGATGCCCCAAGGTTACGCTGGGACGAGGCGCTGGCTGCGTAGCACTGCTATCGAATTGGGTAACCGAGTACTTCCAAAGGGAGCAACTGCGTCCTAAATCCCATAATGATAATTCGTAATTTTCTCCGGCAATTAGGAGCACCTCGAGCCTCATCAAGCTTCGAGGTTCATCGAGCTTGACCCAATCGCAGGACCTCGGTCGGGACATGTCGACGGGAATCCGTCTATGGAAGGAAATGTTGTCATTGCTCCGATCCCAGCGATAAGGTAAAGCTTCTTGTGGCATGTCTGCAGTCATCCAAGAAGAATTAGCCGAATGGAAATCTTCTGATTGGGGCAATATTTCCGGTTGGAGTTGCAACTCGGACAACTCTAGATCTGCAGGCGACCTTGGAGGACGGGTCATCGAAAACATCTAGCACGTAATGGCGCCACACTCTGTTAAGAAATCTGTTTTAAAGTTAATGATAGTAGGTGTACATATTTTAGTCCCAATCCATGCGAGGCCATGTCGATGTACCCGAAGAATTCAGCAGACGAGAGTTTTGTACACACATTCTCTAATTTCAGGATATAAGGATTGTGCTCTACCTTTTGAAACTGAGGGCTCGTGATTAATGCAAGTCTACTACTTTTCAGCGGAGAGGCGGCTGCGCGTTCCTGCATGTACTGCATGAAGTTGCCTAGGAAGGACTTGCAGGAACATGTGCTCTCCCCGTTACAATAGCCCTTCCATCAATATATTCTTCAGTTCCATGGGATATGTCATAATGAGAGCAGTGACTTACCGGCAACCATTGAAACTGGACTACGAGAGCCTGATGCCCCTCGCAGTGGTGCCGCCGAAGGGGTGCTGGGCGCCCCTTACTTGGACAATATGACCTCATGCCTGTGCTTCGTCCGTGTGCACGTGTATGCGTGCGTTCTTCGGCGAGGACAACGTTCGCGCCTACCTTAAGCTTGGAATGGCGGGCGGTGGAATGGCGGGCGGTTCACTCTAGTAAGGAAGCAGGGTGCTCGCAAAAGATGACTGGACTGGGAAATACTACTTCACCCAATTGTCACATTGAAAACAAATTTTCCCGTCTGCAAGTGGTCCTTCCATGAACGTGGGAATTCCTTGGCAAGTCCTTAGGTCAAAATCGATTGGGCTGCCTCGCTCCGAAACCATCCAGCTGTCCAACGACAGCTGGATCTCTACAAAGCATGGGGATTCCTCGGCCAATAAAACTTGGCTACCTACGACAAGACCTTGGTCAAAACCGGACTGGGCAATCCGGATTGAAAAGTTGACCCCATTCAAAATGACAGACCGAACTCCACAAGACCCCGGTGTTGTCAAGTGACTAATAATGAGATCCTTGTCTACATGCACTACAAATCCAATGTGACTCGTCGCTTGGCCAACTCTTCCCTGCTCAAATACCCTATCCATGTTATGCTTTTACATTTTCCGTGAGGAACGCCTTTTTTCTTCACATACCACATGAAATATTAGGCAAGTGTTACTTGGGCGGAACTCCATCTTCGAATGTCGTCCACTAAACAGGCGGCTAACATGGAATAACCATTCTGTCTGTTATGGAGTAGTCGCAAGGAGTTTAATGGAAAAACCCCAGTCGATAGGGAGTTTATGATGTTAGTTTGTAAACCTTTTGCTGCCGGGACCTTCTTCCCCCAACCCTCCCCTCCAAACCCCCACACCTACCAAACCTACCAGGGCAACGCAATCGCTACGACCCGCTGCTGTTGCACCCACCATCAGCCAGCGCCTCCGCAGCAGCTATGGCTGCAGACGCCGTCTGGTGGCACCGTCTTCAGGGGGCCCCCGGGGCGGTGGAGCTGACTGAGGAGGCGGTGGCGGCGGCGGCACACTTTCCACTGGAGGCGGGGTCCGGGGGAAGGGTCGGGGGCCTGGAGGTGACAAGGGGGGAGGTGGAGGTGCTGTCAGAGGGGGGCGGAGGGGGAGTGAGCTGGTGATGGTGGTGGTAGCGGTGGTGAGGCGCCGGGGTTGTGTGGGTGAGGTCGCTGCAAGGGATGGATGTGATGCCCTTATGATGGATCTTAAAGGTCACTCATGACTAGTTGAGCTCATTTTAATACCGTGTGCTCATTCATAAGGTGCTCCTCGCAGCCCTGGCTGCCCGCCTGGCCTGCCGTACTTCCGTACGGACATACGTGCCCTGGGCATGATGATGATCTCATGCTATACTGCGACACCACATCATCACAGGTCATGCCCTCTCACCGTCCGATCAGGTCGTACGATTACCTATCGTACATGTCGTACCATTCGTACTAAGCTTTGCATGAGGATCTGGTGTTCTACTTTCGCCTTTGTGCGCAGTTTTGAGGACGCAGTTCTGCCTGTGGGGTTTGTCTATAAATGAGCACACAGTTCGGCCGGTGCATACATACAGACACACATCACGCCGGCCATCGCGTTGTGCAGCTCAGTCTCCTTTTCATAACACCCACCCCACGCGATACAGTGTTCCCACCGACCCCCTCCCCCTCTTCATCCTCTCCATTTTTGCGTTGGCGAATCTGACAATGGTGTAGACAGTCGATATTCATTTTTTTGGTTTTGAATTCCTCTCTCGATCTATCCATCCATCCTTTTCTCCCCCCTTCTCTTCCCCCTCACCTTCCACTCTCGCCCTTCCACAGGTCGTCCTGCAGCTGCCCTCCCCCGCCGCCTCCCACCCCTCTTTCCCCTGTGTGCGGTGTAACACCATGTGGTATCACCAATCGCCTCAATCGTCTCGAGGTGAAGCATCCCACCGGCTGCGGAACCACAACGATGGAAACAAGAGACAAACCCCAGGGGCCCCTGGACGTCATGCAACACGGAGGACATGCAAACCCACATGCACCACCCGACCACAAGTGCCACAAGTGCCACAAGTGCCAAGACAAACCGTTAACGCCAAGCTAAGCCACGCCAGGTCAGCTGCGCCGTGCCGCGCTGCGTTGCGCTCGCACTATGCACCTCGACGCACGTGTGTGCTCCCAGATGCCGTGTGCTCCCCTCCTCCCCCTCCCCTCCTCCCTCTCCCCCTCCACCCTCCTCCCTCTCCCCCTCCCCCCTGCTCCCTCTCCCCCCTCTCCCCTCATCCCTTCCCCTCCACCCCCACCTCGGCTCCGCAACGAAACATGTTGCCCATGGTGCCCAACAAGTACGGGTTCGTACAGAACTGGCGGAAGGGAACGACACCGCACACGCCAGTCTTCACCGGCCACCTGAAGGACGTGATGGGACGAGGGGGGAGGGGGACGGAGAGCAAGACGGGGAAATCCCAGGTGAGGACTGGGGGGTGAGGCGGCGGCAACCTCGTAAGGCTTTTCCCCGGCTAGCCAGGAAACACACATATATAAAACATTCAACGTGAATATGGTGTAACACCTTACCTGTCGACCCTTCTGAAAGTGCGAATGCACGAATTTGGCAATGAATGCATACTTCCCATGCGTGTCGTACATTATATATGTCAATCACAGGGCCAAACACAGGGCCAAACACAGGGCCAAACAGGACAAGACAGCCTCTAACCCAGTGTCTAACTGGCTGTTATGCCACGTTGACAACTATCGTCAGCAGCTGATAATGAGCCCGTCTGACAGCCCCGCCTAAGAAGTTAGACGCTGTTAGACCCCGTATGAGTTGGTAGGGATACTGATACTGATGCGTGTCGTACACCATACTACCGTACTTCCGTACCTGTCTTGCGCGTCATCGTATCCGCTTGCCGCGCGGGCCCATGGATTTCGTGCTTCATACACATGACTTTCTGGGATTTGCACGCGGTCTTGAATGTGTCTAACACGGTCGTCGAGGCTGCTTTGCGGTTGCGGATGAAGATCAGCTTGTAGTCGTGGTTGACAAAGACGCCGCATCTGTAGGACATGGGCGCTGGCACCGTGACGTTCTCCACCTTGAGTAGTAGCCAGTCACGGAAGGCGCTCTGGTTAAAAAGCTTCTCGGCATAGCGTTCCGCGGGCAGAGGACCAGACTTCTTAACCTCGCCATAAACTTTGCTGGACACAGTGACGAGGTCGCTGTAGTAGTCCGATGTCGATTGCGGCAGCTCTATCGGAGGAAGGCCTTTCGATGCGCTTATAGTTGTAAGGAATGCGCTGATGATGGAGAGCAGCTGCCGGAGGGAGCTGTGCTACAGCAGCCCTCCGATTCGCTGGAGCTTGTAGGATGATAACCAGACCCGTAGTTTATGCAAGGCAAAGATAACGTAATGAAATACGATAACAAAGCTCTAAGGGAATCCTTAAGGGCTGCTTGCGGACACAATCCTTGGACCTGAAAAGCGGTGTGCACGTTACAGCCTGGGCTAATCTAGATCCGCTAGATCCGTTCTGAGTCAAGTTGTCTTTTCTTGTGATCAGGTAGGACATGCCAAACGTGTTTGAAGCAAGCGCAATTCCGGAGCTCCACAGCGCAATTCGAATAACTCCGGCGAGCCCGCCAGAATAATTCAAGACCCCCGCGGACCAATTCTTTTGTCAGGAATAGAATTCAGGGCTACTCCTACCTGGCCGGACGGTCAGCATGTCCTACAACGCCCCAACGATCCGCTTTCCTTATCCTTATACCAGTGGTCATCTTGTAGGATGTGGCTTCATTCTCATCAGTCTCAGTCGCTCCAGGCAGATCCTGGTTAAGGAAACTGTCGACCTGTCAGAGCCTATTCACTCAGGGTCGCGACCCCCCGACCTGACCCCGTGATGTCTCCTCACCAAATTTAAAAACTCAAGAAAGGCGCGTGGCGACACCTTACCTGAACCCCCCACACACACTCGGCGATAGGGAGCATCGGCTGATGACAGACGGAGACAAGGAGATAAACATTATATTACATTTTACACCAATTCAAATCCCGGAACTGAAAAGGTGAAACGCTCCGACAATAAAAAGAGACAACCCCGTGAAAAAACGAAGAATTGACAGCGCACTGACAAAGTAAATAGACACGTCGAATCGTCGCTACGACGATTAGGCATGGAGCTAACTTGTGTGCGTAAAACAGAAGATCGGAACACAATCCCCCCTCGATCCCCACAGCCAACCGACCTCAAACCTACTGCCAATAACATTCCATCACATGACATGATCTAACACACCACTGTCATCAACAAACCGGCCAACATGCCAGGGTCCCATACCCCCGGCAGTGCCGCCGTTCGCCCGACCATTCCATCTTCAAGGCTATCGAAATGCACCCCACCTCTGCACCTACACCCAGGAAGGACGATTCTCTTACCGCGAGGAGGAGGATGGGAAACACCATCATAAGTTAAACAACATGACGTTTCTTTATGACGACATGGCCCAACAACAGTTCAGCCTTCCTATTCCCGTACAACCATGGACGAGCAAAGCCACAAAAAAACCTAAAACCTAGCACTGCAATAACCTACTTTACCGTTAAGAACACAAAAAACTACTTATCCAAGGAGCTCGTGACTCGGAAGGACAGCACACAAGAAACCCCCCACCACAGGCCACGACAGCCACATGACAGGACAGGACACGACACTAACACGACACAGAAACAGAGGACGCGACGTCCAATGCACATGCTCGCTCCTCATTAGGTGTAAAGATAAAAAGTATAGGGCAATTTCCCGAATAACAACAATGAAAAACGCGCCAGGGAAAACGTACCCTGGACTCATCCTCTTCCCTCCCCCTTTTCCTTTCCCCCCTCCTCGAAAAGGGAGAGCGCGCGGGAGGAGACGTCAGCGTGCACGGATCAACGGAAGACCTGGGCACAACATGACGTATACAAGCGCCGCGCAGGGTGGGGTATGCAGTACTGGGCCCCCTTGCTCTTCCGCTGCCCCCCCGGACGGCAGTGCCCCCCGGGGGGGCTCCCTCTCAATAATGACCGGGGAGGTGAGGACACAAAACATTAAAACGCGGCGTATCACCTCCACCTCATCTGACTCGCACGTGCGCCAACTTTACGTTCAACCGTTTACGAGCTCGACCAAGCCGATGTTTGTGTACGTGTGTCTCGCCGCAGGTCTCGCCTCAGGTCCAGAGCCACCCAATCAAGACGCCGGGCCGTGTACACATGCATGTCATAACGGCACAGACGGTGTCGCGACCACGGGGCCTCTTGGTGGTACGTGATGTTTGTCTGTTTTCCGAAAACAGTGGTGTACGACAGGGGCTCCGACGTCCAGCCCTGCCAACCGCGTCCAGGGCCCCCAGCAGTTCACAAAACACCGTTGCGCTGCCAGTGCCGTAACCGGACACACATACATGCCGGTCAAAAAACACCTTGGACAGGAAATCGACACCGTTGCTGCAAACAAAGCCAACCACAAAACCTAAAGCGCGGCTTGACCAGGCATAAGGTACGACATAGTCATAGGAATCGGAATCAGGCAAAAGAGAAATGGGAAGGCAAAAGAGATGGCAAAAAGTCAACCCCTCCGCCTCAACCTTGACCCACGCGGCCGAGACATCGCTGTCAGGTAATACAGTTTGCCTCCCAACCACCAACCGACATGGGCGCAACTGTTCGTGAACTGTGGTTTGACGGGACGCGTCCGTCATGGCTGCGTCTACCCACCCACACAGCATGGAGAGCCAGAGCACGACCAAAAGATCGCGCGCCCAATGTCCCCCCCTCCTTCCCAAGCACTTTCAGACAGACCTCTCTCATCTCGCATCTCAGACGGTCTTCAAACAGCAATTATCAACACACGCTTCAATGTGATACATCGCGCCGGCTGACGACCCACGAGCCTGGAAACAATGAGACCAACAAGTCCCTGGAGGACATGCACACCCACACGCACCACCCGGCCACAAGTGCCACAAGTGCCAAGACAAACCGTTAACGCCAAGCTAAGCCGCGCCAGGTCAGCCGCGCCGTGCTGCGCTGTGTTGCGCTCGCACTATGCACCTCGACACACGTGTGTGCTCCCAGATGCCGCGTTCAATACGCCAAGAACATTCAGTAGATCAGAAGACCATTTCTCAATACCATGCGTGGTCATACACATTGCATCCGACACGGGGATCCCATGTACGAACGACCAAATTATACATACGACAACAAAAAAAACACGCTTTCAAGAGGACATAGAAATGCACTTTCGGCCAGGACCCGCAGTTGAGACCAAAACTCAGCCGGGGGAGCCTATCCTCCTGCAGATGCACCGACGACACGCGAAACACACACACGCGTTCCGTGATCGACCATCCGGGGACTCCCTGCATTACCCCCGGGGGGATTATCTCCCCCCCGGCCCCGCCCCTTTCCTCGAAAGGATCCAACTCCCTTGTTGCCCGCGCGGTTTCCTAAAGAGGCACGACCTGCATTCTTCACCTTGTTATCTTCTTCGTCGAAAGTCAAGTCAAGTCAAGCACCAGGGAATTAGGCCGCGGGCTGGAGGGCCTGGAGGGCACCCCCAAGCTTTCTCAAACGCCCACGTCGGAAATGCTTCTGCTGCTGCAGCAGGAGGTAGGTTGGGTATTTCGCCCAAAGCCAAGTGGCAAGGGCCCCCCGTCGCCTCCAACCTCCTATACACCCCATTCTTAAAGTGGGCATGGGAAAGGAGGGGGGGAGAGGCACTGCACCTTGGTGGTGTGCCGCCGGTCGCTGAGGCAGGTAGGCGCTGGTCTGAGTAGGCCAACAGCCATATCCATGTACAGTCACCAATCCATGCCCACCAGGGGAGCCACCACAGACACCACTGCAAAATGGACCGTGCTGGATGTCCGTTTCCCGCGTCCGGCAGGATCTTTCTGCTGCTGACTTGGCGGCCCCATCCACAGCCAAGGGGGGACAACCAACAGCCAAGAGGGCAGCGGGCAACAGAGCCGGAGCCCCAGGAGACCACCACCACCACCACCACCACCACCACCATCACCACCACCACCACTACCACCATCGCGCACACTTTCGTCAAAGACCCGAATCCAAATGCTCTTTCCTGGAGGGTTGCACCGGGAGAGAAGTCCACAATGTGGTCACCGCACGGCAAAGCGCAAGTGTGGTGCAGCAGAGTGAGCTATGTGACACACCACAACCGCAGAAAACACACAAGTTAGTTATCAACAATAAAGAACCACACTCCCAAACCCAAGGGGCCCCAACGCTCGCAAGGACATCCACGAAACGACAACACAACAGAGGCGATCTACTGCGGGAAGGCCCCTCAACGGGGCGCAACAGTGGACCTTGACGCTCGTATACAATCAGTACGGATGATGATGAGACGAAACGACGCAACGGAGGATGGCACCCCTCCTTAAAACCACCACGTCGACAGCGACATCAGCCGACGCGATGGCGGGTCCCCCCTTCGATCCACCTGCAGCTTACAGCTAATCCACCAAAACTGCACATACATACACACACATACACATACACCGCGCGCGAGGATTAGCCGCCCCGGTACCCCCCCTACCTCCACCAGCATTTGCCTCGCCCCACATCGACTCGACCGATCCGATCTCACCCGCACCTCGTCATGCGTCACCATATACATCGCGCCAAATTCACTTCATACACTGGGCAGGCAATTGCGCGTCTTGGACTTCTGCCACCGCTCACGCACCTGGTAGGTATGGGGGCCGGGCGGCGGGCGGGCGGGCGGGCGGGCGGGCGGGGAGACCCCGGTGAGAACGGCCCCGTGGTGTACATCCCTCATTACCTCCTTGCACCGGTGGAGGGAGGGAGAATAAATACAGTGCCCCCACCAGTGCCCAAACCAAGATCACAACCCAACTCAAACCCAACACCAGCAATGGGTCGTGCTATGCGGTCGTGTAATGCGGTCATGCGCACCTGCACCCTGCCTTGTTTCCCACCCAACCCCCAATAATCCAAAATGGAAATGGGGAACGTCAAACACGTGAGATCGCGATGATACGTCATGAAACCATATGCACCATGTACCATGTTGCTGACTCTTGACGTTTCTTGTGTAACTAAAAGCTCAACTAAAATATAACCAAAAACCTAAAAACCAAAATTCAAAGTCGTCTGCTTGCAGCAGCGCAGATAGTCAGAGCGTCTTGAGGAGCGCCAGAGCAACCCTCTCCTCAAGTTCCTTCCTGAGTGGTGGCGCGCCCGGGGGGCGATCCTTCCACCACTCAAAATGCCACGCCGCGAGAGACATACATGCATACATACGTACATGCGTACATAACACATGCATCAATTAACAACCCGGTAAGCACCTAGCATGCAGATCAATCTTGCCAACGGTTCTTTAGTTTCAATCGAGCCGCGTCAACGGGTGTTTCATCCCCAATCCCAAAATCCAAATCGATCTGGGTCAACATGCTCTTAGCCAGCAGCGCACATCGGCAGCACTCCGGACAATTTTCACAGCAGCTCACAATTGAGGACGTCGGGGTCCAAAAAAAGAAACAATCCCGACAACGTAACCCAGATCTGGGTCAACCATCAACGGGTCTGAAGGAATCCACACCATGCCGTGGTGTATCCCTGCCGACCTGCTGGATCCAAATTGGATCTCTCAATCCCAGTCGTACAGCGTCACGACCACGGTAATGTCGTCCATAGACCCCCTGTCCCGAGCCAGTTTGACAAGCTCCTGTGCAGAGGCCTTGGCGGCGGCAGCATGCTGCGTGTTGAAGGAAGTCATGCCCGTAAACTGCGGTGGCGGATACAAATTGTACGAAAAATTTAGAAACACGACAAATATAGGAACGGGGAGTCATATTCAAAGCGCGGGGGAGAGGGAAGAGTGGAAAGAGGGGGGCCCCGACATATAAGCGCTCGTTCCAGAGAAATATGGCAACATGCCAATTGTATAATGCCAAATGCGAAAGAGAGGGCTCCCGGCGCCTAGTGAACAGGGGCAGCAACCCAGTGTGTGTGGAAGACCCACGAACGAGAGTCAATGACCCGAACGCCCTTTGCCCTTTCTCCCTTTCACACACCGCTTCATCATAGCCCCCAGGCGACCTCCCCCAGAGCCAATAATACATACATGCATACATACATACATACATACACATAACCACATACATACATTATCCTATTAATACTGTCCTCTTAAACCCCTTCGCCCTCCCCGACGGCCCAACCACCCTCTCACCTTGTCAATCACCACCGTCGCCAGGTCCACCGCCTCCTGATCTCCCACCACGCCCCACAGCCCGTCGCTGGCGTGAATGGCGAACGTGTCCAGCTGTGGCGCCAGCACCAGTGCTGCCACATCGGGCTGGGAAGAGATGAGCGAGGCGGCCTTGAAGTCCCGGTCGCCAAAACCCCTGGCGCCAAAGCCGCGAGAAACGACGGGGGGGGACGGCAAATGACAGATCACCAGGCTCGCGAGCGAGGAGGAGTTACTCTCCCTTCCAAACGCACCCGTTGGGTTTTCCCCCAACCGCATCTCAGTTGCCCTTTGGTGGTGACACTTAGCTGGGTCGAGTTCTTACCAATGTACGGTGTATGGCGTACGGACGACGTCCAGTTCTCTCAAGTAGCCACCCAAACACATCCATCCACCCACGTGCGACAACGGGGAAGGGGGAGGGCCACCACCGACAGCTGTAGCGGCCCCCTCTTCTCCCCCTCCCCCTCATTTCCAGCTCCCTCGGGCACCAAGCTAGTAAAGCCCCACCCCAATCCTCTCCTCATTCACCCCAGCATCTGACCAGCCCCTAACAGTCCCTCCATGTCTACTCCCACCTACCACACCTGCGCTTCCCCTCAGTCTCTTTCCTTGGCAGCAGCTTCACTCATTCTGGTTCGCCTCCCCCCTTTTTCCTAATATTATCTTAATAATAGTAATATTATCTTTTCGTCAATCGTCAGTGCTTCGTCGTATCCTCCCCCCCTCCTTTCCCCCCTTCCACGGGCCGCACCTGGACACGGAGCAGACCTTGGCTGTGCAACCATCCGCCAGCGGCAGCACCACCCGCCACGTACCCCGCACGTTGGCCACCCGCCCCCCCGCCGCCTCGATGCGGGTGCGCTCCTCCGGCAGCTCCGGCTTGTGGTCGCGGGACAGTCTCACCGCCCGGCCGCCACGACACAGCACCGCCCGGCAGTCCCCCGTGTTGGCGGTGTAGAGCTTGGGGCCCACCTGGACGCTCACCAGCGCAGTGGTGCCGTCGTGCTGAGAGAGCACACACACAGACACGGCATTGCGGAGGGGTCGGAAGGTGGGGAGGGGTCGGAGGACACCAGGGGGCCAGGGGGGGAGGCATAGGCCGCATAGGCCGCACCCCGCGTGTAGGGGTAATGGGAGCCCCCTCCCCAAAGCATTGCGGATTCGTGTCATGGTGTCGCCCAAAGGGGGGGAGAGGTGCATGCAAAGCCAAGGGGCAAACAGCTGCCGACGTCGCCATCTGGATTCAAGGGCCAACGCGCTTTCAAGCGCCCCCTTTTCCTTTTTCTAGGGCAAACACGCAGAAGAGGCACCCGCGATTTCCCCCCCCTCTCACACACACACATACAACCCCCGACTCCACCAGCTCCTTTTCAACCAAACTGGCGATATGCCTGATTGCGCACGTGCGGGGCGGGAAAGGCAGACGTTCGTCTCCTCTTCTTCTCCACCTGCCCCTACTACTACTACTACTACTACTACTACTACTACTACTACTACTACTACTATTACTACTACTATTACTTCTTCTCCGCCCCCTTGGGACACACTGTTCCCCTTCCCGACCTCCCTCCCCTTGATACAGCGGTCCTCGGGTCCTTCCCCGCGTTCTTCTTCCTACTCACCGGCAGCCCCCGCGCTTCCCCCTCCGCGCAAATCCGGGAGTCCAGCTCTCTAAAGGAGCGGCGGAAGGCGCTGGTGGCCGCCGCCAGCACCTCGGGGCTCACACCCGGCATCTCCATATTGCGAGCTGCGAAGGAAGGAATTAGGATGAGGCGCCAGATGGCAACAAATGACAAACATAACGACAAACGTAATGGGCGCCACATCATCTAATTAAATTCTTGTGTAAGTTCGACGGGGGCATCACGATGACGCCCCCATAACAACCTGTGGGATTCAGGAAAATTAAGGTCGATATATTCCGAAAGGTTGGTACATCAAACACCCAGATCGCCCGCCGTGGTCCTCTCGTCAAGGTAACAAGTGGCTTCTGTTATCACGACGAAAGACATCAGGATTTACGTCATAAGGGGGCTGCGGGTTTCCTTCAGCTTCGTGGCTTTCACGTTCTTGGTGGTTCTTTCCCCCCAGGCTCACATGCTCCATGCTCGTGATGATGTATGTATACCCCAGCCAGCCAGCAAGCCAGCCAGCCAGGTGGAAGGGCCATGTAGATTGAAACCCTTGAATCCCGCCCTGCATGCCGCCGACTGTGTGTAGAATGATGCCCTTCCCTTCCCTGCCCTTCCCTTCCCGAGCCACCTCCGCAGGGCCCCCCCTGTAGGTGTTCTCTTTTCCCTCCAAGGAAATTCTTCCCAGTCAGAAGTAAGTTTCGTAACCCCCACGTACGTACCAAAGCAGTCCAGGAGATCTGGGTCAGACGCCACAGCCGCAAGCACGCTCTCCTGCGCGGTGCGCGCCGCGTGGTCGCCGGAGCCGTGGCCGTCAAAGACCGCGGTGAGGCAAAACGGCGCGCCGCTGTGGTGGGAGAACGCGGGACCCCGGGTCGCTCGCCAAGCGGGCGGGCTGAGAGACCACAGCGCTCCGAGCGCGTCGCTGACGGCGACGAAGTAGTCTTGCATGGTCTGCTTGACTGGGCCCTTGGACTTTGGGTCCGGTTTCGGGTTGGGTCCCAAAACAGCAGCAGCAGCAGCAGCAGCAGCAGCAGCAGCAGGACATGCAGGGATGGGAGGGCAAAAACGGCCGAGGAGGAGATGGCGACGGGCAGGGGTGCGGGTTGGCAAAGGGAATTCCGCACACGGGTTGTGTGGAGGCCGTGCATGGAGGGCTGTCCTCAGGTCAGGAGGTTAGGGTGGCCAATTTTTGGTGTTTGGATAGAGATGATGGCCCGAAGCTCGGCGAAGGAAGCTCTTGACTTTCGGTCAAAGGGCTTTCAGTTCCTTCGATGCCGTCTGGAAGATCCTGTTGAGCTGTCTGGTGCGAGCAGTTTTTGTCCCGCGGCCCGCGCTGTTCCCCTAAAACCCCAGTGACCCTTGCAAGCAACAAAATTGAATTAAAACGCGTTCAACTATCGTTATAAGGCATTAGTATAGTACAGAGTCTGTCAGGGGACTCCTACGTACCGTGGCAAAGCCCTGCGATATGGCCGAGGGTGAAATGCCCCCTTCGGGAAGCCATTCTTCAGGGCAAGGTTCTTCCGTAGGAGCTCAATTGAGGTTTCCTCCCAGCTTGTTACCAGTAAAAGGTCACAGGGAATTATTGGTGATGAGCCGAAGCGATTCTTCATGGTCCCCAAAAGTCCCCCTTGCAAATCCTGTTGGCGCGCAAAGCGCGAGCAGGTACGGAGTTGTGGGCCTCGTGGCATAGTGGCATAGAACACCGACGGATACAATAACTAGCAAGTTACAAGATGCGCAGTAGGCAGCAGTTCCGCAAACGAGAATCGTACAGCGAACCAACTCGCCTCACGACTGCGTGGCAGCGGCTGCATCCCTGAAATCCTGCCATTTGCTGGAATTATTGCATATGCAGACGTGCTTACGACTCCGGCCAACGGACTTGCCCCTGTGCAAATAGAAGGTTGAGCGAGGGAGTGTACCGGACTTGCCCAGGCCGCAATTACTTACCCCTTCCCCGCCGGTGCGGTGCACGATGCAATTGAGAGGGGCTCAGCTGTAGAGTCAACGCATGCACAGGGGTTCCAGCTACGGCTAATGGCGTCATGTTGACAGTTACGTCGCTGCCACGTTGTGTAGTAGCCGAATTAGAAGACACACTGCTTAGTGGTTCAAGATTTGCTTGGACGACAGAGTTATAATTGGTTGTTTAATATTGTGCACAACCCATTAAGAGAGCAAAGGGACCAGCCAGAGCTCCAGAGCTTTGGGGTAGGCCACATACGTTAATCTAAACCCCTGTGCAATTGTAATTATGTGCTACGTAGCGTATGGCTCAGGCACTTGGACGGAAAAGATCATCAGCGAAATCAAGGCTGTACGGTTGCTCGTCCCTAGACGACCGACGGATGCAGAAGTGCGCCGCATCACAGCTGCGGTTACAAACGATTGGAGGCTAGATCAGGTCCGTAGTTAGCACAAAGCCTTGGTCCCTAAACGAAACAATCGCTTCGAACCCATTCGCTTTGTGTTACGAAAACTTTTGGATGCAAGTATTATTGCAAACCGAAGCGTGCTAAGCTGTGTAAAGCCGAAAGATTCCCCGGATTCTGTAGTATGGAGCGGCAGCCTTCAGCGGAGGTGAAGTGGATTACTGCTCCGAGCGATGGGGTTGGACCAGCGCTTCTGCTGACAATCCGCAATGGTAAACCTCATACAACACCAAACCAAGTGAGACTACCGTCATAACCTAGCGTAATTATTTCATCCGGTGTCTAGGCCATTCGTAGCCAACGAAACACTGGCGGCGAGCGCGCGCCGACGGGCGTCATGGTTACCGGAACGCTAGTTCCTTTCGCATGTATGAACCTGCACCTAACAAAGACTTACGTCCTTGAAACATATTCAATATGCGTAATATTGGCCCCGGGTAAGAACATCCCAAGGGAAGGCGGCCTGGATAACTCTTGTCATTGAAAAGTACCTTCCGACCACCCCATAAGCGCCGACATCCTGCCCCCTTGATGTGCTAAAATTCCCCCGGACACATCCAGTACTTAATTAACGCGCCAGAAGGATTTGCTCGACTGGTTTTGGAGCACCGATGCCGGGCCTTCGAGCGCTCCTCCTCACCGACTTGTCCCAGGCAGCGCAGGTACGACAAGAAGTCACACTACCAGCTAATTAACACAGAAATCCTGCATGTGTATGTATGTATGTATGTATGTATGCGTGCGACATACACACACCCCATGAGAGAGCCGCTTGAGGAGGGGAGGGGATGACAGCAGTATATAGTAGCAGGCTCCTCTCTCTTCCCTTCCCTCCGTCTATGCGTGGAGTAGTAGTCTTTCTATCTCTGGTATCTGCTGCCGGGTTGGCGGTTGGAGGAGGGAGGTTGGGAGGCAGTCAGGCTGTTGCAAGCTACAGCTTGGGCTTATAATAAAAAGCTTATGACAATGTCATCACATTAATTGGAATCGGCATATGCTGCCCAGGTTCGTTGCTTCTCTGTGTGTGTGTCCCTAACCCTAAGTCAACAGGCCTGTGCCCGGTAGTGCTCCCCTTCCTCCTCCTAACCCTGACCCCTCCTCTGCCGCCTCCTCACACATCTGCCATCGGCCGCCTCTGCCGCCGCCTCCTGTCCTCTTCTCCCTACGAATAATCCATTTTTACACATCTTGGACATGTCGTACACTGCCGTACAACATTGTAATGTTGCGGCTGCGGCGTGTTTTCATATCCTCCGGTGGGGCCGTGTTAATTCGTCCGCGCATTCGGTGGCCATTTCGGCAGACTTATGTTCTTTTCCTTTTTTTTGCGGCTGGGTCCCACGCCGCCGAGTTACAAGGTGGTTTTGACCGCTTGTTTTGACAGTTTGTTTTCTTTTTGATGTACAGGCGAAGTGGTTTTGGAGCTTCAGCGGGAGATTTGGCGCTGGAACGACGAGGCTTGTTTGCGAAGCGGCCTTACAAAATCATTTGGGTCGAGTCATCACCACCACCACCACCACCACCACCACCACCACCACCGCAGCCTCCTTACTCCTAAACGCCGGATGAAGCTGCGGCATTTAATGTCCTTGTTCCAAATGAAGGACGGGAAGGAGGAGGGAAAAACTGCTACTGCTACGGCTACTACTACTGCTACTGTTGTTGCTGGTGCTACAGCCGCTGAGGATGACCCCGTGGACAGACAGCGCATCATCATGCAGGAATGGGTCGAGGAAGAAAACGAAAACCTTTTGTCGCATCATCAGGATCAGAAACACCCTAACCACCAGCTGCAACAAAAAGAACTACAGCTTCGCTCCGGTGAAGGCGGCGTCCCCGGCGGCAGTAGCAGTAGCAGTAGCACTGAGCTGTGGTGGTGGCGGCGGCGGCAGCTGCGGGGCAGTAGCAGCGGCTCTCACCGCTGCCGTGCCTCTTCTGTGTTTTTTGATTTGCGTGTTGTGGAGCTGAACGACATTCCCTTCTACCCTGACCACGTGCAGGCACGGAAAAGTGTTTTTTTGATTGGATGGGGTTGGGGGGAGTATGAGGTTGGGTGTTAGGAAGGGTATGTGTGGACGTATGTGGACATATGTGGAGCGGGGGGTAGGTTGCGCGGGTCTTACGGGATGGCTGCAGGGCGATGTGATGAGCAACCTCAAGGGGGGGGAACACACATTTTGAAAATTCAAACATTCTTCATATTCAGGTTACTTGCTGCATTGCCGCCCGAATCTCCATCTCCCCATCGCGTCGAAATCCCCATGCGTGTGCACATATCCCCACTCCCACCCTCTCCCTTTCCCACTCTTTCCCGCCTTGCTCACTTTTCTTCCCTTTTTCCCGCCCTAACCCCCCTAACAACCTCCCAGATTCTGGGCCAGGCCAGTGTGCTGGTGGGAGCGCACGGATCGGGACTGGCTAACATGATTTGGATGTCGCCGGGGAGGGGCGGAGTGCTGGAGGTGAAGGGGGGAGACAGGGAACGGGGGGGAAGGGGGGAAGTCACGGTGGGAGGGAAAACACAGCAGCACGGCTCGGTTTCTTTCCTTTACGGTTTAGAAACCTGGTAGCCCGCTGTAATAACAACAACAGCAAAAACAACAAAAGACATACGTACATACACACACACGCACACACACACGCAAACACAGGGTGGTCTACAGTTCACATACTGGCCACAGCAGGTTTCATGACATCCATTTCTGGTGGGGAAGAAGACAACGCCGCCCTTTCATCTCTCCTTTACGAACTTTGGAGAGTTTTGGAGAACTTTGGAGTGGGGGGGGGCATTGTATTGACTTGACCCACAACAACACCTGATCTGAGATCCCTTTCCGCCCCCGCACCCCCCGCAGCTGCACCACAACTCGGCCGGCAACGACCACTACCACAACCTGGTGTGTGGGGTTGGGTTGCATGGGGTTGGGTGGGGGGTGGGGAGCGCGGTTTGGAGGGGGTTTGGGATGGGGGGGAGAGGGGGGCAAGAGGCGCCTTCATACAACCCATGAATGGATGGCTGTGTGGAAGGATACGACATCGGGTGGTGGAGGGACGGGGAGAGGGATGGTGGGTAGTGTGTGTGTGTGTATGTGTTGGGTTCCCCACGTGCTGAGGGCGTAGGTAGTTGACAGTTGATGCACTTCCCATTCCCCGTGCCCTGGGCACCCCTTTCCCCTTTCCCCCCCTTTCCTCCCCACCAACCAAATAGGCTTTACCTCCGGAACCACGGGTCGATGACTTTATCGCTTTGCACTCCGAGGGGGCAGTTTCGGAGCCATTTGGGTCACTTAGCGGCAGCAGGTCACTTCTCTCACTTTTTCACATGCATATGTTTCCCACCTCCCTTAAACAGTCCTTCCTCCCCTTTTCCTTGTCCCCCTCCTTATGCCTTTGTCTTTCCCCTCCTTATCCCTTCCCCCCGTCCAGGCTCATCTGTTGGGTCACAAGTACCTCAATGTGGACAGCGACGGCGACCGCGTGGATCTGGGGGCGGTGGCGGAGGGGCTGAGGAAGCTGCTAGACGCGCAGGGGGCCGCGGCGTGAGGGAGCAGGGGAGGGGGGTAGGGGAGGGTGGGGTCCGTGCAGGGCGGAGGGGAGCAGCGAGGGGAGGAGGGAGGGGAGGAAGCTTTAGGCTGGAAGTGGGTAGGAGAGGGACGAAGCTGGGTAGGAAAAATGAGGGGAAAGGGAGGGGGAAGCAGGTATGTGCATGCGTGTGTATGGCACGGGGGCCGGTGGGTACCGTGTCGCGTGGGTACCGAGTGGGCGGGCCCCACTGGGTTTGTACGATGGCGCGATGGTGATCTCCCCCGCTGTACGGCAGCACGGCGGCGACATGACTGGGGGAGGCTGGGTGAGCGCCAGGTGGTTTCGGCGCGCCGGGCTGCTGAGTAGGTAGGGCGAATGAATGAGACGCTGCCGTTCCGTTGCCCACTCCTCTCCTCCCCTCCCCTCTTTTGGTGGTGGGGGGAGGGTGGCACCCCCCGAGAAGGGCCCCACCAGGCCGATCCCAACCCCCCCGGGACGCAAGTAGGCGGGTCGGGGGTTGCTGCCCTCGGGGAGCGCTGTGCTGAAGGCAGCGAGGGGGATGAAGGTCCTCCTCTTAGGCCGTGAAAAGGGGGTACCTTTTTTGGTGCGGGGTGGGGCGGGGCGGGTTGCTGGGGGGGAGCGGAATGCAGTCCTCTGGGGGAAACAAACCTGGGGGAGGGGTTGTGTGTTAATGATGCCGTACAGCACGGTAGAGTTCCGGGTTGTTTGTGTGAGTGGGGAGTAATTGTTGAGAGAGCCAGAGTCTTTGTTGTATGGTTCGTGAATAGTAGTGAGTAGTTGGCGTCGCTGCATTGTCTGCATGCTGCGGCTGCTCCAGCTGCAAATGCGCTTTAACTACTCTTTTTTGGATATGAAGAGATAGGCGATAACATATATTTGACCGCAAGCTTTTGCGTGTTGGCGTGTTGCTTGTTTGCTGCTGCGATGAATGGCGATTTGCACTGCGCGTTTTCCCAATCCATTGTGTACTCAGTGATCGGCAAGGCACCTGTAGTCTCTTGCATTCTGCGTAGTGGCTTCCCTTCTGTAGCGGCTTATTGCTTTAATTATGATAAGCCTGTAACATGGGTCATGGCAGCCTTGTATGGCAGTTACGTCCGTTGGTTCACTACCAGCTCGGAAATTTTGTCCCCGTAATGATCACCGGATGATTCTCAAATGAAATTTGGAAAATGAAAACACGCCTGGTTGCAACCTAATGCTCGGGCCATGGAGTAAGCTCCGTTCATTGCCGACATATTGTAACTGCCTGCTATGTTATAACCTGGATCCGTCGATACACCATTCCCCCAAATTCTCCTTGTTTCAATGTCTGAAAAGATCGACCTTCTTTGTTATCTTTCGGCCACTTTCCAGGATGGCTAAGTAAGAACCGTCCCATTTGCTGGAGGCAAGCAAGTCAAGCTGTCGTTGATAAACCTTGTCCTTGATGGTTGCCGTCCATGGCAATAACTATATCTCTACAAAAACAGGACTGGTATCTTACATTCCAAAGTAATTGTTCGGTGTGTTGGCAATCGCGCCAACACACATTGACCACTTGACCTGGGACTTTTACCGCATGCATGTGCCTTCAACCTAATCACTTCACCAAACATTATTCATTATTCCCTAGCGGCGTAATCAGCACCATGGCCTTTCCGGACTGCTCCCCGCACCGCTGCCCGCTCCTGGCCCCGGCGGCGCTTACTGATGCATCAGCGAGTAGTAGCGCGCTAGGGATCACTTCATGGCTGGATGCAGCACCTCATCCTGTGCCTACCCTGCACACCGTCGTCAACACCAGCCCTACAGACCTCCGCACCAGCTTCATGGTGCAGTACAAAAGCAGCACGGGCCATCTCCATTTGGCATCCCCCGACCGGAACGAGATCCTTCTGGCCTTGCTCCCCAAAGTCGCTGTCAGCGCTTCAACAGCGCCGACGGCCGACTCTGCGGCGGCTTCACCCGCCGCTGCCGCCACCGCCGCCACCACCGCAGCAGCAACTCCGGCTTGGACCAATTCGGAAGGGACGACAGTCGCCGCGCTGACGGCCCCCACCATGACGGCACCGCTCCGACCTGAGATCCTGGCGGAGGACGCGTGGCCCACGGCCTTCGCCGCCGCCAAGGGCGCCCGCCGCGGCCGTTGCAAGTTACAGCTACAGCTTAACACTGAGCTTCACGTGACACGTCACACAGCTCGTCTGGAGGGACTTCGGCCGCTCATGACCAGATGGGGCGTCCGTAACAAAGAAATGCTGACGCTGACGTTGCGGTACGACGGCCGGCTGCTCCTGTCCCGTCAGAGGCCGCCAGGCGCCGCAGAAGCTCCCGCGACGATGGTGGCTGTAGCGGCGAAAGCGGCAGCAGTGGGCAGTGGCGTACCGCTACAGCCGGAGCCGGCCGCGGCGCCGCCGCCGGTGTGCCTCTGCCGGCGTCGCGGCTCCTTGCTACAGCTACCCAATGAGGCAGTAGCATGGCATTTTGCTGACCTGGCGGCGGCGGTTGCAGCGAAGGGGCCGCAGCCGGTGGAGGGTCTGTGGGCGGCTGTGGCAGGGACGCCGCCGCCGCCGCAGCCAGGTGCTCAAGGACATGATGAAGACCCACGGGTCGCGCTGCCGCAGTCCGGCAGTCTGGTTGAACTGCGCGGTGTGTCCTTGTGCGCACCTAAATTGGGTAGATGCAGAATATTCGCTCTGCAGGGTCTGCGGACGGTAATGGGGAGTTGGGGCTTGGCGGATGGCGCCATGGTGCAGCTACAACCGTGTACGACAGGAAACAGCAGTAGCCATACCAGCAGTAGTAGCGGCGTGCAAAAGCTGGTTTTGGCACCGCTGCGCTCAATGCAGGTTCAGGCTACAGCCGATCCGCCTGGGCCTATCCGAAACCCAGCAGTAGCGGGGCCGAGCCGCGCCGCCGCCGTCGCCGTCGCCGTCGGATCCGTCGGATCTGTAGGGGCAAGTAAGGGAAGCGCTTCAGCTGACGGAAACGCCGCCGCGGCTGTAGCTTCTGCAGGCGGCGCCGCCGGGACCTTACAGGACACGCCTTGTGACGCAGTTGCTGTAGCAGACGGTGGCGGCGTCAGGGTCGCTGTGGCAGGTCGCCGCGCCGCCGCTGACGCTGGCGGCAATGGCGGCGGCAGCGGTGGTGGTAGTACGGCTTTCGCGACGACGGCGACGGCGCCCTTGGCACTGCCGCAGGCTACTACAGCGCCGTCGCAGATGGCTGTAGCAGCACCCAACCCGTCGTCGCTGTCGACTTCAATGCTACAGCCACGGCATTTGCAAACAGCCACGTTGCCAACAGTACAGTACCAACAGCCACAACTGCAGCTACAACCGCTGCCGCTGCTAACAGCAACAAAAGGGGTCGTGGAGGAGGGGGAGGAGGTGGACGAGGCGGAAGAGACTGAGAATGCGATGCAGGTTGAGGAGGTGCAGCCGCAGCCACCGCCGTCGGAGTCCGAGTCGGGCCTTGTGCCTGCGGGGACAGGCCAACATCTCCATTGGGGCCATATGCCATGCGATGAGCTGGCAATGGCGGTGGATTCGCCGTCACCGCTGGAGACGGCAGGCGAATGTACGGCAACGGAATCGGCGGAGCGCTTGCAGCAGCAACAGCAGCAGGCGGGCATGTCGTCAATGCCGCCGCCGCCAGGGAATGTGTTGCAGCAACCACCGCCGCCGACAGCGGCGGGAATGTCGCCGCCAACA